CTTTAAAAAAAATAAATAAATAAACAGAGCTGAATTTATTCAATAAATATTTACTTAAGAGAGCCCACTCAGCTACTAAATCCAGTTAGTTAAGACTTGATTTTAGTCTGGGGATTGTAGCTCAGTGGTAGAGAACTTGCCTAGCATCATGAGACTATTGGTTCCATCCTTGTACTATGGAAAGAAGAGCAACAGAGATCCAAAAATATTTCAGTAATAATCTTATGCACAGATGACATGTTTAAAAGAGGAGGCCTTTTTATAACAGGGAGAAAAAAATCTTTCTGTAAAGGGGACAGAGTTATGTGGCCTTTCCAGAATGCATATGCTCAGACAAATAAAAAGAATACAAGACTGGTACAAAAAGAAGCTATGAAACAGGAAGAAATTTTGTAACATTCAAGAAGAAGTTAATGTAACATACTTTTACCTGCTGAAAAGTAGTGGAATACACTGATTCTAAAAGTATCAATGTAAGTCACAGAAGCCTTATTTAAAAAGTCAGCTTTTATGATTCTGACCTCAATATTGTACTGTATGCTTCACTCTAAATAAGCAACAGAATACCTCTGAGCAGAAAATGCACATGACAACAGTATTTACATGAAATCAGATAACCAAATGCACAATGTAGAGGGAAGAAAATAAAGTAAGAAATATCAAGGGTGAAAAGAAAGCAACTATAGTACCTCTATTATTACGAGCTACTAGGAGTTTAGTCTAGGTTTGTAGCAGCAAAAGAGCCAAAAATATATCAGAGATATTTCAAAGGAGAACTATTAAAACTTTTAGGATAAATATGGATGATAAAGAATAAAGATGACCAAAAAATTTTAGAACTTGGGTACTGACTGTGTTAAGACAGACAGACAGACAAAGCGATAGTCAAAGAAGACATAAGTTTGTTGTAGACAGGAAACATTGACAGAGAAATGGTACAGATTTGAGTATAGCATCCCTTATTGGAATTTTTTATTACTGTTTTATTTTAGTTTTGGTACCAGGGATCAAACTCAGGATTTTATGCTTGCCAGGCAGGCACTTATGCCACTAAGCCATCTCCCATGCCTGTTTTTCTCTTTTGTTCTTTTCTTTTCTTTTTTTAAAGGCAGGGTCTCACCATGTAGTGTGACTGGCCTTGAATTCACAGCAATCCTCCTGCCTCTGCTTCCTGAATGTTGGGGTTATTCTTCAAATTCTTGAAACTAGAAGTCTTTCCAATTGGATTTCTTGGCAGATGGGTCAATTTTGGATTATTTTTACAAACTGTAATGTAAAAGTTGAGTACCCCAAATCTCAAAATTCAAAATCTAAAACTTTTTGAAAGTTTTTCAGATTTTGAAGTTTTCCACACTTCAGATTTTCAGATTAGGGACACTTGACCTAATAATAGAACATTTCTGAGTAATAATATTTGCTGACAAAGATTTTCATGAAACTAAAAAAAAAAACTATGTCTTTTCTTTTTTTTTTTTTCTCCCAGTGCTTTCAGGGCAGGTTTGGCTGGCTTGAGTTGTGGGGATCAAACCACAGCAACCTGAGCCTGACTGCTCTGTTGAAGCAGCCACTTAGAGAACTGAGCTAAGGGGCAGGCCCCCAACAATGTCATTTAATACCTCATGCCAACATCTTGAGTTGATAAGATACCAAAAATATTTTCGTAGAATTCTATAAATATGTAAAAGGTGTCATCTATCCAGAATATTTATTGCTAACTCTCTTCACATTTAGCCATAAGGGTAGGCTAAAGGAAGAGTAAAACTGTAACTTTGTGATAAATATTTTATATTACATATTGCCCCCAAATAATTTTTCAGAAGACCATACTAGTTATCTTTTATGCTCAATTCCTAGATTCTTTTTCCCCTCTTCCAATCACTGTAAAGTACTACTAACTTAAATCCTGAAAACTATACTCCATTTTAAACACACAGCAATATTCTGAAGTAAACATGATGCCATTGAAACGCAGGGTTTATTCACGTTAAACACCCAATAAAACAGAAATACACATAGCCAGGCATAGTGGCACATGCCTATAACCCAGCACTCAGAAGGTTAAGGAAGGAGGATCACTGCAAGTTCAAGGTCAGCTTGGGTAGTGCAGCCAGACCCTATCTCAACAAACCAAAGATCAAATTTCCAAGTAACTTTTATACAACAAGGAATACAAAATCTGAAAACAATAGACAAAAAGGTAAGTCAATACTGAGTTCCTAATGCACTGAACAGCCTCTTTGTAAATTATAATCTATCATATTTGAGGACAATAATAATGAAATAACGCAAAATGTGATTAAGTGCTGGAATAGAAGGTTCAAATGGTCTGACAAAGACCATACCTGGTGAGCAAACAAGTTTTATGGAAGCAGTAGTACTTGAGATGGGTGGACCTCAGTTTAATAGGAAATAAAGTTAGAGAACAGAATATTCAAAATGGTAAAAGAATCAGCATAAGCAAGATAAGAATGTGGATAGACAGTGACTTGTCCACACTGGATAAAAGACAAGTAGAACAGGAATAGGGACACACACATAAAGGTGCTACAGGGCCAGGAATGTCGCTCAGGCTTACAGCATCTGCCCGACAAACACAAGGTCCAACATTTGATTCCCAGTACACAAAAACAAAAACAAAAAAAAAAAAAGAAAAACGAGTGCTATAATCAAGCTGATTTTACACAGGGAGGTAAAACTAGAAAATGAAACATGTATTTAAAAGTATATGATCTCTGTTAAATAACCAAATACATCATGCAAAATTATTTAAGGAGAAGGGGAGATTTAGAAGCCTTGATTTCATATCTAGGTATAATTTCACTCTACAATAGCAATATATTTATTGTGAAAGTATTTTTTAACATATAACAAAAATCTTTCTCAACAATTACAATCACATATTGCTTAACAACCAGGATACATTCTAAGAAATATATCATTAAGCTCTTTCATATTTATTGCAAATACTACAGGCTGCACTTACACAACCTAAAAGGCATAATGTCATCCACACCTCGGCTCAACAGTGTGGCCTATGGATCCTAGGCTGCAAACCTAGACAGTATGTTTATGTAGGCAACTGTAACATAATGATATTTGTGTATCTAAACATACCTAAACACAAAAAACCTACTGTAAAAATGCTAGATGACAGGCAATTTTCACCCTATATTCTTAAGGCAGGAGGATCAGTGCAAGTTCAAGTTCACTCCCAGCTACTATCTTTTCATCTACAGAGAAGCAAAAACATACCTTTTTACATTTTGAGATGTTTTGCTCCTTCTCCCCACTCTTTTTCCTTCGTTTATCACTGCCTGTGGAAGCTCTGGACGCAGTTAAAGCAACTGAGGTTTGTGTGTGCTGGAATGCAGTGTACAGCTCCACAGGGACTTCATCACCACTCTCTGTTGCACTGGTGTCACCATCTTCAAATGCAAAGCAAAGTCACTGCACATTTAACACTGTTATTCCAAATGCTCAAAACTGCACTCCATAGGCAGAGCACTACTACCTCCATCTTTCTGCAGAATAAGCACCTTTATCACATCTTCGCTCACACCGCTCATAGGAGTGTGAACTAAGACATTGTTTCTCACATAACAAACTTTTAAAGGGTCCAAAAGTTTTGGTATGACCAAAAACAAGTGCTTGTGGGAAACAAGAACTCTCACAGATTGCCAGCAGTGTTTTGAAATTTCCTATGGGAGGAAATTTAGCTGTATCTAACAATTATACAAGTACTTAACCACTCAACTCAGCCACCCCATTTCTAGAGATGTAGCCAAGGAAGTATGAGCTAGGCGTGGCAGCACACACCTATGAACCCAGCACAAGGGAGGTTGATGGAGGAGGATCATTGTGAGTTCAAGACCAGTCTGAACTACATAGTGAAACCTTGCTTTAAAGAAAAGCAAAAAAAAAAAAAAAAAAGTACAAAAAGCTTACACATGAGGGTTTCACTGAAAGACTGTTTCTAATTTAAAAAAGGAACATTAAAAACAACCAAAATATTCATCAAAGAGGAATGGTTGAATAAATAATTATTTAAAACCAGTTATATTGGTTCTACTCAAACATGTTTTAAGGCAAATGAAAACTGTGACATATATTACATAGAATTTAGAAAATTCTGTCTTTAATCATGAAAAAAATACTATTTCACGTAATAAACTAATGGATCACCATCTTTTTGAAAAACATACTATGCTTTTTGGAACTATTTTTTTCCACAGAACCAGGGATTGAATTCAGGCCCTTGCACTTGCCAGGGAAGCGCTTATTCCACTGAGCCATCTCCCTGGCCCTACTATGCTTTTTGAAAACAATAAACTACCTATATGTATGCAAACTGTAGATGATTTAATTTTTTTATTTTGTTTTCTTCATGTTTCCTTGTTTCCTAAGGTAAGTACATACTTATTCATCAATCTATTAGAAAGAATATTTTAAATCACCCAAGATCATAAACAAAATATGCAATTAAAATTTATCAGTAGGGGTTTACACGTAGCTAAAAATATACAGGCCATGTGTTTTCTCAATCACACTAATTATAATTTAATGCAGGTACTTTACCCACCTGACATATTTTCCCTTTTCCGGCGTTGTAGTAGCACTGCCCTCTCTTTATCCAGACTCCTACATTAAAATATTACCATGGTTACTTTTCACATTCTCACAAAGACAGATGTAAAGCATATCTATTTTAAATGTTAACTGTACTGTTAAGTGACTCCATTTCTTTTGTTCAAATAATAAATTTTTATTAAGAAATAAGTACTTTTTTTTCAAAATGTGTAAAGCAAGACGTCTGAAAAAAGGCATGGGCCAGTGAGATAGCTCAACAGTCTAAAGTGCCTGCTTAGGCAAGCTTAGGCAAAGCACAGGTTTGATCCTTGGTACCACATGCTGCGCTGGCCCCACCCCTAGGGCGGGCTGAGCTGGCTAAATAAATAAAGGCATGAGGTTAATAATACAACTAAAATCACTTTCTTAAATGTATAATGCTAAATTAGTATCTACTGTACATTATACCTCATATTTTTCTCACTCTTGAAATAATAAACACTATAAACATTTAACGGACAAAATAACCACATGAACCTCTGCCAGCCCCTGGCAATGAACTACATAATTGATAGCAATTCTTTTACATTTTCCCCAACTTTTTGATGGTAAACGCTACCCAAGAGACTGAATAATACTAGATTATTCTCAAAGGAGAAAAAGAGCCTCTAGACTAAAATGACCACAATTCAGTAAAGATTTGCCTTAATGTCTACTAGAACATGTAATTATCATCCTACTATGTGAGACAACAATCTTTACTATCACAGAATGATAAGTAGCATGCTCTCGCAACTGCCTTTCCAATAAGCTAGTTTTTAACTAGCTTTTCTAAATTCATCAACAGACATTCCATCAAAAACTATCTGGAAGAGGGACCAGGGAGATAGCTCAGTAAAATAAGTGATTGCCTGGCAAGCGCAAGGGCCTGAGTTCAATTCCCAGTTCTACAAAACAAAAAACAAAAACAAAAACTATCTGGCAGAATACTAATAACTCCCTATTTTCTTGTTTTTGAATTTTTTTCCTCTCTTTTTTGGGGGGTACTTGGAATTGAATGCAGGATCTCACACTTGCCAGGCAGGCACTGTATCACCAAACTAAATCCCCAGCCCCCTTTTAGCCTCTTTACAGTAAAAAAGAAAAAAGTACTAATAACTAACAAAACAAAAATAAGAGAAAACTTCACTCGGAATAAGAGAAATGCAAATCTGGGCACAGTGGCAGAAGTCTGTGATCCTAACACTCAAGGGGTGGAAGCAAGAGGAATAATGTAAGTTCAAGGGCAGCCTTAGCTACACAATGAGACCCTGCCTCAAAAGGGGGAGGGGGGATGCAAAATTTACACTGTTATTACCAATTCTCACCTAACAAAACTGGCAAAAATTCAACTCTGTGAAATACTCTTGTTGTGAGGTTTGGGATAATAGGTATGCTTTTCCATTACTGGTGGGAATTCAAAACTATGAGGCTCTTACTGGAGGCGGCTATGATAAAATCTAGCAAAATGAGTAAGTAATCCTCCTTCTATTTGCAATAACAGAAGATTACAAACAAAAGCTCCCACAGAAAGGGACTAGTTAAGTGAACTATATAGTACATGCAAAAATGTGCCATGAGGCTAAATGGGGAGATGAGTCACTCTACGCCACTATGATCCCCATATGACTTCTGCTCTGAGACATGGTCCTGCTATGTACTCATGTATGCACTATCACCATTGCCTGACTTCAGCATTTATTTATTTATTTATTTATTTATTTATTTATTTATTTATTTTTTGCGGAACCAGGGACTGAACTCAGGTCCTTGCGCTTGCTAGGGAAGTGCTTATTCCACTGAGCCATCTCCCCGGCTCAATCAGCATTTATTTTTAAAAGAAGAAAATCACATGTAACAAGTACTCTGTCTTAATATGCTTCTGCTCATCTAGGTAGGAAGGGACACAAATGCAGAGGTACAGATCTACATGTAAGAGAACAAGCAATGGAAGGAAAAATCCATTTTTACAACTATCATTTCTGGGATAAAAGGAATAAAGACAGAAATTAGACTAATTTGAATATATCTTGTTTCATATATTTGATTTCAGAATAACAGAACTACTTCTATTATAATTGTAATGTATACAATTATGAAAACAAAAAAGATTTCTCAAAATAGATTACTGATACATTTCTGATGGCAATGTAAAATGGTATAGCCTTTATGAAAAAGTTTTACAATTTCTTATGAAACTACCATACATCCAAATTATCACAATCATAGGCATAATTTCCAGAGGGAAAGAAAATTATTCAAATTCACATGAAAATCTATACACAAATGTTCATAGCAACTTTATTTGTAATAGTCTATAAAAACATAAACAATCTAAATGTTCTTCCATGGATGAATGGTTAAGCAAAAGTGTAGGGCCTGGGAGATGGCTCAGTAGAATAAGCACCTCCCTGACAAGCGCAAGGATCTGAGTTCAATCCCCAGTTCTGCAAAAAAAAAAGTGTACTACTACATATATATCATACTACTATCAGCAATAAAAAAGAACATAATTGTCACACATGCAACAAATCAGGCAGCTCTACAGGAATAACACTGAGTGAAAAAAGCCACTCCAAAAAGGTCACATACAATAGTTTCATTGACATGACATTTTTTTTTTTTTGACATAACATTTTGAAATGACTGAATTATAGAAATGAAGCATAGATTAGCTGTAACTGCAGCCATGGAAATGTTCTACACCCTTACTCTTTAATGTTATATCAATGTTACAGTGCCAGTTATGATATTTTATTAACAGTTTCAAAAGATGTTACCATGAGGGTAACCTAGATAAGGACAGGCAAGATTTCTGTATTTTTTTTAAAAGAAAATCCATAACATAGTTGACCATTACTCAAAAAGTTTAACATCAAACCAAAACTGAATTCTAGATGATGATTAAGAAGCTAATTTAAAAAAAAAAAAAAAAGTGCCAGGTATCACAACAGTAACAGAAAAAAACTAAATGAAAATAAAAAATAAAACTGATAATCAAATAATATGTGGATCCAGATGGTGTTATAATCATGAAATTCTTTCAAAAGATTTCAAACAGAATAAATTATACACCACATAGACTGCACTCTAAGGAGAATAGATTTCTAAGCTGCTTTATATTATCCTACGTGGTGCTAGTATTGGTGTTGTTACTCTTTAGGATTAAGCCATGAAGTAATTACGTGACATTTTAATTATTTTGTGTTGTTCAAACCTAGACACTATATATACATATTCACATATTTTAGCTTAAATGTAGTTAAAACAGTTTTTTGATAATTACTAAAATTTTTTGATAAATACTAAATGTAGGGTAGTACTACATTCATGTGAGTTCACTATACTATTTTGCATAGGTTTACAAATGTTCATAACACATTTAAAAAACAAAACAGAAATTGAGGGGACCCCCAATACTATACACAGAAAAAATGATAAGACCAACCAAATTTTACATGTAACCAAGGTAGCATTGTATGCTATTCGTATAGCATATTCCAGTGAAAAAAAGATACAGCACTTGGAAAAAGCATTATTATTTCATACATCCCTACAAATGTATGAAATATTATACTATATTTAATATTTGTAAACTATAGCATGCTATCAGTGAAAAAAATCTTCATTTTAGAGATATTAATATATAAATAGTACACATAAAAACGAAAAAATACACCTTAAAATTAATGAAATACAGTGGTGCCTTGTTTTACGAACTTAATTTGTGCTATGATTCTGAAAAAGATGGTCACATCCTTGCTTGTGTGGGAAAGATGGCTGTGGTCACGTTTGTCATGCAATGCGGAGCTTGCAAGCAGAGACAAAATTCTGCCAAATGCTTCTGTTTAGGAAAAAATTATTTGCAAACAAAAGTGTTCGTGAACTGAGGTACCACTGTACAGTGATTTATTTAAATCCTATTAATTTTTCCAGCAAAATTACTGGCAGTCTTATCAGATCTGTACAGCTTACCTAGGCTGACAACGTTCACATAGATATGTATCAGGAATATGCTGCCTGTCGATCCCCATGCAGTCAATATGTTGCCAAACACTTAAAAGGAAAAAAAGGATAAGGGAGTAGATAAAACATTAAAACCATATTTAAGACTTGATATTCCATTTAACTATCACTTCATAAATGCCTACTTTGAGTTTAGCACTGGAAAACGTGCTATGAGAAATTCACAAAAATACAGCATCAGGGAGATAAAATTTTGAGATGTAAAAATAAGAGGGCAAATATAGGATACATAAAATAAATTCCTAAGTAAATACAGGATGCATGAAATAAATTCCTTTTTAAAACATAAAAGCTGTAAATCACAAAGTGGAGATGTTCACACCATGTGGAACTGATGGGACAAGTACCTGGAGAGAACACTGGGTGTGACGAGAACCTTGCTCTTAAGAAAAAGGACGCAAAAACATTATTGTAGTATTTATCAATTAACAGAAGGAAGGAGGTCTGACAGTGGTAGATATATATGAAGAGAATGTTCATTTTGTAAAATCAAGGGAGGGGTTAAAAGTACGTTAAATACAGTCAGAACAGACAGTGCTTGGATTGTTGGGATGTGTGTAGATTTCCTCTATCAACATTAATGATTTTAGTGGCATATAGTATTAATAAAGAAGCTAATTTTAAAAAAAGCAAAATGAACAACTGACAGGCTTTCCCAACATTTCATACTTCATTAAAAAAAGAACTATTGTGCCAATGGGATGGTTCAGCGGACTAGAGCCTGATCAGGTGCAGGGACCAGGGTTCAATCCTTGGCACATGCCATGCCAGAGCCCTGCCCTTGGGCATGCTGAGCTGGCTGCCAAGACCAGGGGAGGTAGCACAGGCCTGTAATCCCAGTGCTGGGTAGGCCGAAAAACAGTGAGGCCCTGTACCAAATACATGAAAGAAAAAGAGAAAAAAGAAAAGAAAAGAGAAAAAGCAAGCCTTGCAGTACACTAAAGGTTGAACAACAGAAAAAACTAATCAGAGAAAGGATGGGGAAAAGGAGGGGTGAGAGGGGTCAGAGAGTCATAACAATCGCAGTCACTGAGAAGCAAATACCTTGAATAATCCGAACACTGTGAAGTTGTCCTAAAAGAATGTACAGATGGATATATATATATATATATATATATATATATATCCATCCCTCTAAGGACAATTTCACTGTTCTCTAATAAAGACAAATGCATATTTACAGATCACTGTAACTTAATCAAAAGAAAAACACTGCTTAGATTACATATTAAAATAAAACACTGCCATATAGTGTGTAATTTTTCCATCAGATGATTGGTTAAAAGACTGGCTCTAATAAACTTGACACTTTCTAATATAAGAAAAGCAGTAAGTAACTGAAGTTGTTTTTTGGATTTTTAAACCCTAAGTAAATTTACTGAGGTCATTACTTGGGGTAATGATATATATCATAATATAAGTTTATCTTTAAATCTGAGAAGATATTATAGTATATTATTAAAATAAATTTGAAGTATTTATATTAATAACCTTCCACAGAAAAAATATCAAATACAATCTACAAGGCACTTTAATTTGCAACTCCTAATCATTTACTCTAGTAGGTGGGAACAATGTTACAAATACTATAAATTTATACTTGGCTCCAAGATGCATTTTTATACTCACATTCAAATACAGAAATAAACCCTACTACTTCAAATCACACAGCTATGCCATAAAGACACGAACCCAGGAAGTTCTGTAATGCTACCAAACTTTCTTGCACTCTCCAATGCACTGCTGAAATACTCTGCTCCCCACTTACATGGGCTGAACTCAACAACTTTAAGGCTGAAATCCTACTGTGCCCTCTCCATCCTCCCCAAATCCCTCCCGCTAAAACAACAAACAAACCAAAGAAACCACCAAAAGCAAAAACAAAAAAACTGAAAGAAAAACCCCACTTTCTGTCCCAATCACACCTTCTCTAGGGGAAGAGGCCTTTCGTGGTGGTTGAACCAGGGTTGGGGGGAGGGGAGACTGTGGTTCTGGTACAAGAAGACTCCAGAGTGCTGCAAGGTTCAAGTCAAAAGGAGGTGAGAGAGTCAGGTCAAGCAAACATCAATCAAAAGTTTTAATTCCCTTAAACTGGAAAATCACAGTTGACTACACAGCACAAATGATTCCAACAGAAATACAAGGGACTCAATTCTTCTCTCATTTCTAACTTGTCTACTCTTATATATGTACTTATATTACTGCTGCCTAAGTAAAAAGAGAGATGATCCCAAATGAATAGCGTTCAGAACTGATTGTTACTTAACTCACAATGGGGATTTCTAACAGGCTCTAAGATAGCTTCTTTCAATAAAGGCTTTTTTCTAGGAACAAAACATTTTGCATAAATAGTAGCAGAGTACCACTTAAAAATGTGTCCATTAATTTCTCCAAAAATGACTTTAGTTATCATTTCCAAATTAACAATCAAGGTTAGAAGCATTCAAGAAAAATAAGCTAATGGTATGAGATATTTTACCTGCATTTGTCACAACAGATCATGTATCCATCATCATGTGTAAAACCACATATGCACCTGGTTACATCAGTACCATAACTTCCATCCTCAGATGTGCTGATTGTAGTAGCACTGGAAGTTTCATCAAAATTAGGAGTGGTAAATATGCCTACTTCATTTTTGCTAATAAGAACTGATGGAGGAGGGGAAGCTGGAGGTGTTGGAGGAGGACGAGCACCATAATTATGGTCCTGGATAAGGGAACACAAATACAGCACAACGTGAGCTCAGTAACTTAAAATCCAACCATTACTTTGAAGACTCAAGAGATATGAAATTGGCCCATTTCTTCTTGAATATCTTTACAATAATGATTTGATGAAGCGAAATTTTTTTTTTTTTTTTTTGGAGACAGGGTCTTGTTATGAAGTTAAGGGTAGCTTTGAACTCACTTCATAGCCCAGGCTGGCCTCACCTTGTGGCATCCCTCCTGCTTCAGCCTGAATGCTGGGATTAAAGGTGTGTGCTATCACACCCAGCTGATGAGGTGAGATCTTACACCACATTGGTTAAGTTAATATAGCTACAGGGTGGGGGAATAGCCCTCACATCAACACCATCTCCCCTCCCTAAATCAGAAGATTCTTCACAGTTCTTTGGTCACGTGGCTTCATCTTCAAGATGAAAGTAGGTACATGACATGAGAATAAAGACGGTTTTTAAACCCTCAGGAGGCCACAGCAATCACTGAAGAGCAGTAGCCAAGGCCCTCCGCTATCCCATGGCCGTGGGCCTCAACAAGGGCCACAAAGTGACTAAGAATGTGAGCACACCCAGGCACAGCTGCCGTAGTGGATGCCTGACCAGACACACCAAGTTCATGTGGGGTATGATCCAGGAGATGTGTGGCTTTGTCCCCTACGAGTGAGCAGTGCGCCATGGAGCTGCTCAAGGTCTCCAAGGACAAGTGCACCCTCAAGTTCATCAAGAAAAGGGTGGGGACGCACATCTGCACCAAGAGGAAGCGTGAGGAGCTGAGCAATGTGCTGGCCGCCACGAGGAAGGCAGCTGCCAGGAAGGACTGCGCCCCTCGGGAATAAAGCTTTGCAGAAAGTTCAAAAACTAAAAAATAAAAATAATAATAAACCAATAAAATACAGAGGATAAGAATAACAAAAAAGCAAAAGAACACATACTATTATTGTAAAGCACATAATATGGGATTTTTAAAAACTGGTACTTTTTTTTTTTTTTTTTTTTTTTGCAGAACCAGGGATTGAACTCAGGCCCTTGTGCTTGCCAGGGAAGTGCTTATTTTACTGAGCCATCTCCCTGGCCCTCGTTCTATTTAATCTGGTCCAAATAAAAAAAGGTTCTCATAATTTACCTTTATAATATCACAAACATGTCCAGTTCTAAAACTAAATGTAAACTCTGCCTCCTACTAGCTATGTAATAGCAAATAAATTAACTTAAATAAGCTTTTACTGTTTCAGCTATGTAACAGGGATGAAAACTACATTTCATGAGGTTGTTTTGGGGCCGGGAAGATAGCTCAGTGGCATAAGCACCTGCCTAGCAAGCACAAGGTCCCGAGTTCAATCCCTGGTACCACAAAAAAAAAAAAACAAAAAAACTCTAAACAAATAAAAAGAGGTTGTTTTTAAAGAGTAAGTAAGATTAACCTGGCACATAACAAGTGCTCAACAAATGACAACTATATAATTTACTATGTAAATTACTATAAAACTTAGTAATACATAGCACAGATTAATAGTATAACCTGAACAATGGTCTCATCAAATTATTAATTGCATAAAATTTACAGAGCAATAATTTTTAAAAATTAACCCCTTAATATGGATAGATCAATTTATGTTACATATCTACTTGTTAAATATAAAACAACTGTGCTTTTAAAATTCTAAGTTTTCAGCATAATATTAAACACATCACTTTTCAACCTCTAAATTTGAAAAATACTCTTCCAGAGAAATGTTTGACACTTACCGCATAGGGCAAACCAATGTAACTGTGTGAATGATGGGAGCTGCTGGTATATAACGGGTGGGGATAACTGTTGGATTTCTCAACTACCACAGGGCTAGCTTCTACGGATTCTGGTCTGGGGGGAAGAAAGTTCCGTCAATGAGAATTCAATTCATTTTTTCTTGTAATCAATTTAAAATAAGTATTTATATCAAAACATCAATACAGATACCAAATAATAGGTAGATAACTTGTGAATAAGACATAACCTATCTAGATTCTGGGTCAAAATAAAGCTTTTTAAGTAAAACAAATGTCCTTCTCCAAGTTCAAATAGCTTTCTTCTCTATCATTTAAAAAAATTACTAAAAAAAGAAAAAAGAAAAAAAAATTACTCAAAATCAAACATTATACAAAATAGCCAGTGGCATTGGGAACACTAAACACAGGGTAGAGAGAAGTGGTAGACTGAGTAAGCAGGACTGAGGACACAAGGAATAAATGGACCTCAATGTAAATATGTCTACTTTAATGTTCAAAACTATATATAGATATTGAATATGCTGAGACAGAACAGAGTATTGGAAATGTCAGTAAGTTAGGTAATAAGAAACATCTCAAGGAAGGAGGATTTATATCTGAAAAAACCAAGCAGCAGCCCCTACAAGATCTGTAGTTACAGCCTGGTAACAGTTAAATAAATGGTCACTAATTCACCAGCTGTTGTTAATTTATAAAGTCTCTGCCCTAGCACTTTATTTTGTGTGTGTGTGTGTGTGTGTGTGTGTGTGTGTGTAACCAGGGACTGAACTCAGGCCTTTGTGTTTGCCAGGCAAGTGCTTATTCTACTGAGCTATCTCCCCCACCCTCTGCCCTAGCACTTTATATACATCACTTTACTAACATTTTTACTCATTCCAAACTTCCGAAGCTCTGCTTTAACTAATTTCTATTGGTCAGTGTGGTAACATACGTACATACATCTTAAGTCAATTCACATTGAAATTAATCTCTCCCTCTCACATATACAACAACAATGTTTCTGTGCTAACACTTCATAATTCTATAGATACAATACTACTAAAATGATTTTCACAAAAATCCTTACCCATAAATTTCCCTTAGAACTTAGTCCTATTTGCACTATTAATGGTTTGAGACTTACAGTAGCACAAAAACAAATCTTATAGTCAACTGTTTCTTCATGTATTCGCCCTCCTCAAGTCTCAATTTAGCTATAAATAGCTGCTATTGTGAGACCTAGTGTGCAGAACAACAGAAAAAGAAGGCGTACACAGAAGATATTAGTTGGTAATACAAGGATTACAAAAAGAAGTCTCCAATATGCTCTGAATACTATGGTGTCATAGGAAACTTTTTCTTAAGTTTCAAAACTGATACATACTTACGGTATAAATTTTCAGTACAGAAATACATAACAAAGTACTATCATCTTCCAGTCTCCATTCCCACATCAATATTGCCGTGCATTCCTTTCTAAATATTTTTCTGTGCTTAAATATCCATACAAAGTATGATCAAAATATACAGTAAAAAACACAATGTCATTAATCTCCTTCAAAATATTTCCTACTGCTCCAAACAACTTTTATCATTGCTGCCATTTTGTTTGTTTGTTTTTTGAGAGTCTTGCTATATGGTGCAGGCTGGTCCTAAACTCACAGTGTTAAGGGCCGGTGAGATATCACGGCGGACTAAGCACCTACTTTGACAAGCACTGGGACCAGGGTTTGATCCCAGTCCCATGTGCCATAGTGTGCTAAGCCAGTGACCAAGTCTGGCCATGGTGGCACATGCCTGTAATCCCAGCACTGGGGAGGCTGACAGCTGGAGGACCACTGTGAGTCTGAGCTGCATAGTGAGACCCTATACCAAATACATAAAATGAAAATAAATAAATAACAGGGAGGGGGCCTGCCCATTAGCTCAGTTGTTTAAGTACCTGCTTAAACAAAGCAGCAGGCTCAGTATGCTTTGGTTAGATCCCTAGATCCTCAAGGCAAACCAGACCTGCCCTGAGGGCATCCTGAGCCCGCCAAAACAAAAACAAGAACAAACAAAAAAATCCATAAATATGCGGAGATGGCTCAGTGGAATAAGCGCTTCCCCGGCAAGCGCAAGAGTCTGAGTTCAATCCCCGGTTCCGCAAAAAAAAAAAAAAAAGAAAGAAAGAAAGAAAGAAAAGAAAAACAAAACAAAACAGTGAACTCCCAGCAATCCTCCTGCCTCAGGCTCCCGAGGGCTGGGATTACAAGTGTGTCAGCCACTACACCTGGCCTCCTGCACATTGTTTTTCTTCTTGCCACATTCTGAAGCAGTTCTGCAAGTCCTTTTTCTTGAATGTTTTTATAAATCGTGATTTAAAAAATATGATGAATGCAGTTGCTGCATGCCATGCAACAGAAAGAAAGGTTCCTAAAAGATTGTGGTGTGTCCTCCTCTATTTTATTCACTGGATCTGACACCATACATATACAAGTTCCTTTCCAAAGTTAAAAATGACCACAAAAAATGTTTTCCATTAATTTAGGACATTAAGGCAGCCATGACAATGCAAGTAAAGACAGTTATAAAAGACTTCCACAACTGTTTTAAATACAAGCAAGAATGATGGAATAAATGTGTTTCAAGAGAGGGATAATATTCTGAGGGAGATTCTAACTGCAATGTGTCTTTGCCTGTAACACATTTTTAAAAATTTAAGCATTTATTGTATTTTTCAATTAGACCTTGTATTCACCACTTGCTTTTTCTACCTTTAAGTCAATATATGGGCCAGTGAGATAGCTCAGGGTCCTGAGTTCAATCCCCGGTACCGTAAAATAAAAAATAAATAAAATAAATGTCAATACATGGCTACCTTATTTTTGGTAGTAATTGCTTATTTCACTATATGAATGTGATATACCTTATTTAACAATTTACCTACTGATACATTATTATCTTTCACTATAAAAAGGATTATTCCATCTGTTTATCATTACCACTTATTTTTTTTTCTGCATATGGCAATGTTTATATAACAAAGACTCTTGGCAGTGTAAGTGCTAAACAAGCAGATAAAGGCACACAAAATTGATAAACATTGCCAAAGTGTGTTTACCTATTTGACCATACTGAAATTTCTTTAAAACTTACATAGAAGTAGTATTTTAGCAATGCTCCACCATACTATTAATAAAGCAACATTCAGGGATCATGGCCAGTGTAGAGAGATTTACTCTTCCAGATTTAGATCAAACTCTTTGGGGCCAGGGAGATGGCTCAGTGGAATAAGCACTTCCCTGGCAAGCACAAGGGCTTGCGTTCAATCCCCAGTTCCACAAAAAAAAAAAAAAAAAAAAAAAAAAAAAATCCATATTCCACTAGGAAGGCAGTATGCAATGTATTAATTATTGGAACTGTCCTACCAATTTGATTTGAAACTGTCTCACTACTATTTATTTCTCAATAAAATTATGGAAAAAAAAATTTAAAAAAACTCTTCAATGTTACTAGAGCGTGTGGGAAAACACTGATATTTGGGGTTAATGGTTAGGAATAAAATTAAACTGTCAGTGGAAATGTGGATAAATTCAAGTGTATTAAAGTCATAAATACTTCGTATAACTTCATAACTCAAATTAAAGCTATTATACTGACAAGCTGGCAAAGAAAGCAAAAATACTTAAATCCTCATGCCTACTACCTGTAAAGTAATTTTAAAAACAAGGTAATGATTTTTTAAACAAATTGGTTGACATAGTTTAAGGATTTTCCAAACCTCAATCACTTAATTAAAAATTTAAACCTTTAAAAAAAAAAAAGTCCACAAAGTAATAGGTATTATTAAAAGACCTATAGTCAGCTCTGCATTTCTACAGCAAAGTAAATCAGAAAAACAATCTGATGATAAATGCCAATAAAAGTCAAATATCCTCCGATCTGCAGCTCCATTTTTGAAAACTGTCATCCTAAAGAAGTAGCAAAAAATAATAATAATTAAAAAATGGGGGGCCTCCAAATAGCTCAGCAGATTCAAGCGCCTGCAAATAGGTGCAGGGGCTGGGGATTCAATCCTCAGGTCTGCCCTGCCTGCCCCGTCCCTGGGACGTGATGAGAGCGCAATTGAGACTGGGCGTGGTGGCGCGTGCCTGTAATCCCAGCTCTTGCAAGGCTGTAAACAGGCAGATCACTGTAAGTCTGATCTAGTAGTGAGACCCTGAACACCCTGTAGACCCTTCCCTAAAATACAAAAAGAAGTAGCTCCCACTAAATGCAGGCCTTCAGAGTTGAGATGTTTTGCTTAAACACACCATTCGTAAACTAGAATTTTGAGTAGAAACATTGAGTGTTCAATCAACAGGCAATGATTAAATACATGCAAAGAAACATACTATATGAATTTACATATGAACAACAGCTGAACAGAAACTCTTATTAGTAACAGTGGTAGCAGTAGTTGTTATTTGGAAGTCTGACTAGTCCTGTTTTAATTAAATCACTAAATTTGCAAGGTATCAAAATGCTGCCTTTAAGTATTTACTGAACATCAAGAATGTATTAGACTAGTAAGTCTTTACAAAGTTTCTTTTTAAAGTGGACCCCCAGGGCCAGGGAGATGGCTCAGTAGAATAAGGGCTTGCCTGGCAAGCACAAAGGCCTGAGTTCCATCCCCGGTTCTGCAAAAAAAAAAAAAAAAAAAAAAAGTGTACCCCCAAACTGTTACCTACTAAGGCCTTAAAATAAAAGTTTTTTGTAATCTTATATAATTCCAAGTTCCAGCTTAGCATGGGAAACTTAGTGAGATTCTGTCTCAAAACAGAATTTTACCTGCTATACTACATATGTGCACACTATTAATCAAACAGGAACACAAAGAATATACTAGTACATATATCACTTTGCTATACATACTTTTCTTATTCCTTTTAATGACAGAGCCCCTAGTCTGATGGATTTATAGGCACTACAAGATAGGTGTACTATGCCTTCAGCACATCCATGAAATACTGACAAGATTTTGTATAATATAATGTAAGGTTGACATACTTACATAAGGTTTAATATACTAATGTAAAATTGATGAAGATTAATGAAATCAGGTATAATGCATGAAATTCATTCTTCATGCAA